CTTTGCTTTGGAAAAGAGGTGAAAATGTGCTATTCTGTGTCATTTCCTCAGCTATCTTTTAATACAGCCCAGTCTTCTGGCTTCAATCAGCAGAAGGGATCGGTAGGCTGATTACGGATTGTAATCTTGCAGAATGGCAGGTCAGCCTCTCCTTGCAGCCAAGGGAGTGATTTATTTTTGGCTCAGTTAACCCCAGAGAGAAGTCAGATTCACACAGACACTTGCTCGGAAGGGGGGGATGTTGCATATGGCTTTCTTGAGGAAACACATAAGTGCTTTATCCAGGGGATATAACATTTTACTCGATGGTCTGTCATTGCCTGTTTGGAAAGCTGGTGGTGAGCAGATGCGAGAGGAAAGAACATTTGCCTTCAAAAGCAAAAATAATTCCCCGAACCAAACCGGTCACAGCAGGATAAAGTTAGCAGGATGAAAGATAATTATTTCAGTTTGGGGAGAACCACCAATAAGAAGTGCCTTTTCTTTGGGACCCTTTTCTCACTGAAGCAGTAATCAGGCCTTACAGGGTATGGAACGAACATCTTCCCTAGACGCCCAGCAGACACAGCCTCTGGCAGCCCAGCCCCTGTGGCTCCGTAAAGAACCCTCAAGAACACTGCTGTCACCATCTGAAAAACGGAAGGGCTGTGGGTCTCGTCAGGAAGGAAACAGCTTACATAGGAGCAGGAGCTCCTCGGTCAGGTCCGATGAAACAGACCCAGCCAGCTCCTCACAGGGGAACAACCATAACACTGCAAAACAGAACTTTTTAGTTTGTAACCTGGCACCCACTTGCTGTATGCACCACAAGCAAGCTGTTCCAGGCTTGCGGAGAGAACAGAGCTGCCAAGAGGCCAAAGGGCACGAGAGGAGCTGAGAACTTAACTCTCCCCTTTTGGGGTGGTGCTTATGGGAATCTCCTGGATGGATTAGCTGGTCCCAGGCAGTGATGGATACTGAGGCCCCAAAGGAAGACTGATCCTGAAGGAAGGCGGCACCTGGCTGGTGAACCAGGCTCCACTTCGACTTTCTCATTTCCTTTCATAAGTTTAACTTACAAACCTCAGTCTAACCACAAGGCTGACTGTATTAAAGGCTCTCCAGAGAAACAGAACAAATAGGAGAAATGTATATAAATGTCCTACATACGAATTGGCTCAGGAGGGTATGCAGGCCGTGGAGTCCCATGACCTACTGTCCACAAGCTAGAGAACCAGGAAAGCTGGTGGATGGTGTAACCCAGTCTGAGTCTAAAGGCCTGAGAATTATGCATGTGGTGTGGGGGAGGGGCTAAGCCATGGTCTGAGTTTGAAAGCCCAAGAACCAGGAGCAATAATGTCCGAGAAGATGGATGTCTCAGCTCAAGCAGGGAGAGCAAATTCACCCTTCCTTCACCTTTTTGTTCTATTTAGGCCTTCAATGGATTGGAGGATGCCCACCCACGTTAGTGAGGGCCATCTGCTTTACTCAGTGTACTGATTCAAATGCTAATCTCTTCCACAGACCCCCTCACTGCCACACCCAGAAAGAACGTTTTATTAGCTGTCTGGTGCCTCCCTCAGCCCAGTCAGGTTGACACGTAAAATTAACCACCCTTCCGACAGACATTTTCTTTGCCCGCCACTGCTGGGTTTATCTTCACTTTCTGCTGAAATCACTCAGATGTACATGAACAGAAACTTCTGGGAGAGACACAATAGGGAGACCTGCAGCGGAGGTTACCTTGGGGACCAAAATGTGCATTTCTGCGTGGATGTCTGTGAGAACCTTGGCCCTCTCCTCCAGGTCCTATGCCCTATGTGTGGTCTGGCTCGTCCCACACTCGAGCTGAGCCTGGCATTTTGTGAATCAGATGCGGTCCAAAGAAAATGACAGGAAGACATGAAGGGCCGGTGTGGGGGTGAACAGGTGCTTGTGAGGTTACGTGTTTCTGTGGGTGGAAATGACTGTGATTATAAGCGCCATATTCTCACACTCACGGCTCTGCTGTCAGCACACTTACTGACCGCACACAGACCACAATCCTATCGACTTTTGGGCTGTTAGAACAATGGCTTGGGAACTCTGCGGCTCTGGGTGTTTTTTCAGCTTTTGCCCCTCCTTGTGAACTGGGATGAGGTCGGGTTTAAGGGGAAAAGTGCTGAACGCCAGCACAGCAATCCCAGGCGTTGTGTTCTGCGGCGTGAGACCCACAACAGAAACTCACACGGTGACCAGGTGGTTCCTTCTTGCCTCAGCAGAGCCGGGGCGGGGGGGGGGGGGGGGGTGCTGCTTCTGCCCAGCTTGTGAAATCTAAGCTGGAGGTGACCCCACCCCTGGAATGAAAATTCAAACCCACTGCCACTGTGTGGTCTTCATTATGACTTTGTGGCTGTCCTCACTGCTCGTGACAGCAGTTAAGAAGTTACCTGTTGGGATGAGCACTGGGTGTTGTATGGAAACCAATTTGACAATAAATTATATATATAATTAATTAATTAATTAATTAAAAAAAAAAAAGTCTGTTCCCGGTTAGAGCGCAGAACCTTGACTGATAAGACGGGAAGAGAATTTCACAAATCTCACAGGAAAACCTCCTCCTAGAGAGTTAAAATTGGGGTGGGAGGGGGCTTGCTAAGTGAGAACACCGGGGGTTCGTCTGGAGTGGCACCAGGTCAGTGGGAAGAATGTGGCTATGTGACAGTCACCTATTACCCTATGCTGTGAAGGGTAGCTTCCAAAGTATTTGGCTGGTGAGTCATCAGAAAAATGTTATCTCTTATTCATATCTCAGCGAGATATTTTACTGCTATCTGTTCTCCCTGGAAATATGGTGGTGGTTGGGGGAGTGGGGAACCCAGCCCCTTAGAAATTAAAGCCATATGCATACCATATTAAAAAAAAAAAATAACCCAACCCAGGCCATTCCATTATTGCTGACCATAGGAATTCAGTATTTATAATTTACATTCTTTCCCATACTTCGCTGTTTTTCAGAAGTGAAGAGCAGAGGTTTATGGCCTCACCAGATCATAAATCAGATTCCTGAAGGTAGAGGGAGCTGCCGTAGGCTGAGGAACTGCCTTCTGACAGTTTGCAGAATGCGTCAAAACATCAGGAAAAGTACCCAAATGGAGACGGGACCTGCTTCAAGGAATGACAGCTTGACTCATTTGAAGCCACAGAAACAGGACTGATGAGGCCACAGTCCATGCACTCATAAACACTAGTTATTGTTCCATCCAGCACACGACCAGCCAAAATCACATGGGGAGCCAACGTCTGGGGAGAGGCTTGGAGGTTTGGCCTTCCCTCACAAAGTGAGCACCTGAGAGCTGACTCACACCAAGCCTCCTTCCAGGGGGAGGAGGGGAGACAAAGGCCTGGGCGCCTCCATCGGAACAGGCTTCTCACTGTCCACGTGTCGGCCACTGATGCTGGCTGGAAGCAAGGTGGGGGCGGGTACATGAAGGCTCTAGTTTGGCAATGAGGCATAAGAGCTGTGTACAAGAATCAAGTCAAGGAGCCTCAAGTGGAAGAAAGAGCATTAGGCTCTGGTTGATACGACAGCCTCTAATGGCTATGTGCTCTTGGGTCAAGGACTTCTCCTCCCTAAGCTTCATGACCCGGGAAAATGGGGATCACACCACCAAACTCACAGGATTCAAAAAGCACACACACACACACACACACACACACACACACACAGTGCTGGACCCATGGAGCAGGGGAAGGGTGGTTTCAGGGACACCCTTTTCCCCTGCAACTGAAAATGCCATCCTGGTTCTTGGCTCACTAGCAAAACCAGCTGAGTGTTACTGTCGCCCTGGGAAGATTCATGGGAGCAAGGGGGTCCCCGGAGCCCCACCCAGAGGTCTTTCCAAGGTTCTAAGTCCTCTGAAAGCCTGTCTGGAAGATAGGTTAGCAGTGGCCCATTAAACACATGCCCCCGCTCCTGGTCTGGATTTTGTCCACTCCAAGAGAAGGCATAGGATTCTAAACATTATGAAAGCTGGAGATCTTTCTTAAGTCTTTTCTGGGTTGCACCCGTAAAATACCTAATCAGTCCATGACGTCTGCAGTCAGACTGACGAGAATGAGCCAAAGCAGCACTTTGTCAGGCAAGAGGGAATAGTTAAGGTTTACAGTCAAGATTTTCCAGTATGGATTATTACATAAACCCTGCCTGCAATTTGACACCATAATTAAGGCTATTGTATGTATACTTCAGACATGAAAATGCAGGATTTTGGTTCTTTAGTCTCAGATTTTTCTACTTTTCTTTTAAAGGCAACCAATTCTTATTTCCTGTGGTTTGTAAAACCACAGTTAGTTACCTTTTCTGAGCATCCAGAACGGGAACACAGCCTGTGTAGAAACACCAGTATCTGAGGCCCTGGGGAGACTGCGTAGGGAGTGGGGGGCAGGAGGCCAGGCAGATGGAAGAAAACCTTCAAGACATTGTGGGACATTATCGGCACCCACAACTTGCAGGCCCTCAGAGCGTATTTCCAGAGCCTTCCAATAACAAAGAAAAAAATAATTAATACCCGGGGCACAAGAGGTTCAAGTGTGAGCCCAGAATGGCTAAGGAGGCTGGTGGCTGGCTGCATCAGCTGTGAAAGCAAACCTCTTGGACAAATTCTCTTTTCTGAATGATGTTCTTGACCTCACTGGGTTTATAATGGATTTGCCAATACGCTTCTCCTTGCTCCAACAGGACAGGAAGGCTGGGGACCAGGAGTCCCTTTTGCCAGCACTGCAGGCAGGAAGCTTGCCTGTCACCCACCCCTCTGGCCAGCCATGTGTGCTGTCTTCAGTCAGAGTATCATGATGTATAATAAAAACCGAGCTTCGCCATGGGAGGCCTTGGAGCTACTTGGACCTGTTACAAATCCTTACCAGTGTGAGACTATAACAACAAATATTTTCTTATAGGGCAGGCAGCTTCAAAATCTACCCAAAAAAGCTGCAAGAAAGGGAATGTCAAGATAGACAAAGTCACAGATGAATTTCTGAAATGGATTAAAGGTACTCTTTAGTAAACATAGGAGACAAGGAAGATTTTTACAATTCGGCATCCCAACAAACTAAAAAACAAAAAAATCAACGTGCAACTATTTTTCCCGTTCTTTGGTAGACATTAATAAAATAATTCCTCTAAATTCACAGAAGATAGCAAAAGTTAAAAAAAAAAAGCTGTTAAGTATTTATTGCATCAAAGATAAAAAAAAGTTCCAATTAAAAATCTTTGTGACTTTCGCTTATGATAGTCCATGCATCAGGTTTAGAATAAAATGTGATCAAGGGAAATGTAAAAATCGAATTATGGGCTAGCAGTGAGACTCTACAGCCCATCGGTCTTAGCCGGTACTAACGCTGACCCTTGCAAAGAACCAAATCTCAAAATATAACCCTTGCAAAAGCACACACATGTATGAAGGAGAGATGCCTCTATGATGAAACACTGATGGACAGAAGTCTTGGCTCTCCTTACATCTTGATTTCAATCCTGTAAGTGGGAATATATTGAGGATCACAATAGCTTGCCTGTGGGATTTCTAGTTTCTCTAACAACAAGAAACCTGGTGAACACTGTGGCGGGCCCAGGAATTCTGTAGGAGTCGCTGAGCATAATTCAAAGAGCATGTAAGTCAAATCCCCTGTGTTTAAAGTGCTCACTTCAGTCTGGTTTTCAGTGGGTAACAGGTAGTTCTATTCCACCCTGCATTTAGCCTCCCCCCCTGTAAGGGCCTGACCAAGTGCATGCTTATAGACGAATGAAACAATCCAGTATCCAAAGGGAGAGCTCTGACAAAAAGAGATGTCACTTAGAGATGCAGCTTCATGGGGAAGACCAACAGGGCTGAACCTGATGTGTCTGGTAAAGAATTTTATTTTATTTCTCCTGGGTGAGTACTTTATACACAAGTTCACTATAGAAGTTCTAGTGAAAATAAGGCTGGCATTTATGGGATGTCTTTTATCATCAAAATGTTTAACGGGTCAATGAAATGTCCTAGCATTGCTGTGGGAGCAGTTTGGCCAAGTCTTTTACAAATGGTTAAAACAGACACAAGAAAAGTGGGGAAGGGACATGGAAAGCCCAAGAATGACAAAAAGGGAAAAGTAGCTAATACTCAGTACAATGCTACTTATGGAGAAAAACACATAAGACATTCTTTGAGCATTATGTCCAAAAACAATGGTGGCTTTTAAGAGGGCAGTTTGCAAATCGCCAACGTGAGATGATTTGCAAGAGAATCATTTCTGATATTAAATGATGCCTCTGATCTATTTCCATCAACGTGAGGTTCATTTCCATAGACACGAGTGAAAAAGTAGGCCAAACCCAGCAGTATGGTGTCCAGGAGGAATGGCAGCTGAGGTTCTGGCCGGTCACAGAAAGCATTGGTTTTGTACCTACTGTGCCCAGAACTTTTACTGAAAGGGAAAAGAGAAAGTGTAAACTCAAAGAACAGGCACAGACAGCATCGGAGGGCTTTGTTGGGATTTCACACAAAGCCGTGGAGGAAAAATGGTCTCGTGTGCACTTTGCTTTTCAAATATCCCACAGGAAAGTCAGCCCCCGGGTGCTAAACAGGTACCTCCCTCTGTGCCGGCCTCAGAGAAAGGAAACACGTTGCATCAGTCTGACCCGACGAGGAGTTAGAGGAGCGTTCAAGTGCCAGACCAGGCTCTCCCAGATAACAAACTTGGAAACGCTCAGTGACGTGGGCCAGGTACAGGAAGGAGAGTTGAGGCGGACCATGTATATGATATTATGGTGTACTCAGGAGCTCAGTGCTCAGGAAAGCAGAATGCATGAGGAAACAAGATGAACCCGCCTACTTGCAAAGAGAGTTTATGGTGTACCGATGTTTTAAAAAGGCCCTTAGATGGGCTACGGAAGCGAGAGTGGGTTTATGAAAGGGGACCTCGGCTCTCTCGGTCCTTGCTGGGAAGGACGGGGCTGCAGTTTGGACCGCACGTGAAGGCGCACAGCCGCGGCCCCTCACGGCCAGCCCCCCACCCCGGCCACCGTGCCAGCTGAACGGATACAGGCACTCCTCCACTGGCAAGACGCCTGGCTGCCACGGCAAGTCTGTGTGAGGCTCTCGACCAAGTGATCACCAGAGGCTCAGAGCACAGGATGTGACCCCGGCTCTGCATGATTCATTTAACCCCTTCACCCCAGAATTCCTTTGCAGAAAAAGAAAAACATGACACTTCTGTGGTGAAAGATTTCCTTAAAGGGGGAGAAGACATGAAAAACTCTGCTCTGTAAATGAGGAACAGAAGGATTTCCTTGGGCAAGTTTAGATCTATAAGCCAATCGGCTGAGCGCCGATCACTTGGTAGGGAGAAAACTCCAACTTGGTTGATGTAACCATTACCATGTGAAAACACAATGACTATCTTGTTCATTTCCCATTGATTACTTTGGTAGCTCAGGAAATGTAACATGTATCTGTAAGTCCTCTACAATACATATTTTTCTTCTTTTCTCTTTTCACTATATAAACACACATACACATTCATATTATCCTTAAAGTCACTTGAAAAACACAGCAATTGCTTACAAGTGGTGAAAAATACCAATACGATGCAAAGAAATGAGAATTTTTTAGAGACTAATCTTTGATGGGCTTTAACGTGTATTATTTTATTTAAAACAGGGATCCATCAGAGGTGGTGAACTACCAGGGTAAATGTTCTAGAGCATGGCACACAGATGAAAGGTAATACTCACCAGCACCTCACATGGGACTAAAAGACAAGGTCAGCAACACACCATGGAAGGAAAACAAGTAAAATGTAAAAGGCACCTGGCTGGGAGAGAAGCTGCGATGTGCATCGCCTCTCAAGCAGGCTCACTTCTGTGCACTGTGGATAACTCTGGACAAATGACATTCAGAACAAACAAAAAAGGTTCTGATCTGAAGCCCAGGATCCTACGTAGGTAGCCAGTCTTTCCTCAGACTGGTTTACACCACTGTGTGGTTTCAGGTCCTAAAAGGGGGATGAGTTTGCCAGACAGTAACACAAATGCTCTCCCCATTTTCTTCTTTAGGAGAGAGAAGAGCTTTCCCCCAACTCAATTTCAGCAGTGGCTTCTGAAGGCTTTTAAGCATCCTAACTTAACAACAAATAAGATACCAACAATACAAGACAGAAGAGTGGCCTGAACTTAAACCAATCAGTCAAATGGGAAAGGCAGATTTATAAAAATAAAAACTGGTCACCAGTGTTAACGTACCGTTAATGCCCTGTCTGAATGAAGGTGTTTCAACTAACTGCAACCACAATACACGCAAGCGGTGCTGCTCCGGGCAGCTGTGAGTGAGAGGCCGCCCTTCCTGCAGATGCTCCGTACGGCTACCAGTGACCGCACGCCAAGTGCTGAAGTTGGAGGAGACCCCGAGCTGGCGAAGGATCCCAAGCACTGACCTGCCTCACGTGGCTGGGTCTGTGGGAAACAAGACTCACGCGCTCTCAAATAATGACCCCCAAGTCCCCTCTCCTCGTCCCAATGGCACCGCATGTTTGCCCTCCCGACAGGGAGGTCCAAGCCTTTCTGTCTCCCTCTCGGTTCTAGGCACTCTCTGGGACGTCTGCGATTAACCGGGCTCCTTCATTTCTTTCCAACTCCGTTGGTGACTTTTGACTTGGAATGTCGATTCCTTCTTCTGGAAGAGTGGCTTTCGTTGTTGCCCGGATGCTTGGGTGGGCTGTCTTCAGAACCTGGCCAAAGGAATGAGAACACGCTGTCACCCTGAGCGTGGGGTTTGCGGGCTCGCTCCTCAGATGGGCAGCTCGTCCCACTCAGGCCGCCCTCTTCTGATACATGTGCTCCACCTAGTGGCCTCATGGATCCATGAAGGCAAGGCCCTGAAACCCCAGCCCGGAGCTAGTGCAGCAGCCAAGCCTGTGTATGCAAGGGGATGGCGCCACAGAGCTGGGGGCGTGGGGAGCAAGGGCATCCCGAAAAGTGTTTACACTCTCACTGTGTAAGGCGGATTGTGTTCATGGCAATGGGGTCAAGAAGTGACCGTAAAAATGAAACCAAAGAACAAGGAGGAACAATTAAACCACATGGGTGTTGGGTCTACCCTCACAACCAAAGGATGCATCCCCTAGGTTTCCACACCTTGACCTGTTATACACCGGAGTTTCTACATCCCTAAATGAGAAAGAATTCCTGACTTTATGAAAGGAAAGACATTACGACCTCTCTCATTTGATCCAGAGGACACCTTTAAAACCTAGGTCGCTTCTGCTCATGACGGCTCTGGAGCCTCCCACAGAAGATGGCACACACCCTCAAGACTCTCACAGTTGGCAGTATTTGTCACACCATTATTTGTTTGCGACCTCAGAGAAAAACTTCCGTGTCAACCGGACGCTGAGCCACCAGCAGGCATCAGGCAAGGTGGAGGGTAGAAGTGGGGGAGCAGGGAGAGGGTGGGCCTTCCGGGTAACCGTGTGTAAGGAAGGCCTGGAAGGTGAGCAAAACTTCCTGGCATTGGACTGGCTGTGCCTAAAGACTGAGCGTGTGGCCAACCTCTGGCCCAGCAGTCAAGCCAGAGAGTTCTCTGCTTCAGGGCTCAGATCCAGCCCCAGAGGAAATCTCCACCCAAGACGGCCATTCAAACAAACAAACAAACAAGACAAAGAAAAAACTTCTCAGAATTTGGTCTTCATTGCAAAGGCCATTTGGCTTTGTCCAAGAGATTCTTTTACTGCTCTGAAGATTCTCTTTTTTAGTTTACTCTTTGTCTACCTTTCATTTATATCTCTACCACTGCTTGCCTCGTGTAGTCTTTTCAATGGAGAAGGGCCTGCAAGTACCAAGAACGGATCTGTGAGGGGATGGTTCTGAAGGGCGGAACCCCAGGGAACCCCTCCGTCCACTTCTATCAGCGTTCCAACATAGGGCGCCTATCGACTCCTTGATTCAAGAGTCTCAAAAAGGGTGACTGGCAACTCAGCAGAGAACATGCTAGCATTTTCCCCAGAAAGAGCTTTAAAAAGCTCGACGCCAAAAGAACTCAGGAAAGCAACCGCAACAGTAGTGCTTTCCTCTCCCTGGGCCCACGGTTTCTCTGGGCAATTCTGTGAGCTAAATTTCACCATCTCCAGTGTTCATAACTCTCTCCCCTCAGGCAGCCTTCCAATGGGCTCACGAGCATTGCCCAGAGATTACTGGCCAGTGGAGCCTCCTTGGTATCATTCCACAAGCCTTAATTCTTTAAAATACCCAGGTAGCCCCAAATCTTTCCAAAAGGCTCCTTGGAGAGGCCAACGGGAGATCCCCGGCTATACTACCAGAATTTTATTCTGGCCTGCCTCCTGAATAAATACGATGAAATCAACCCACCTCTTCTGAAAGCTCCTCCTCCCAGTGCACAATTCTTCCTAACCCTTTTCACTCAGGATGAAAGCCAAGAGGAAGAACATTCCCAATAGGGTGCTTGGGACAGTACGGGCCTTGCCTCGTTATGTTTTCCTGTGTCAGAAGAGGCAGAACCACATGGTGCCTCTTCTTTAGAAGCAAGTTTCTTGGGCAGATCCTGACAGCACTTTGCAGTTTTCACTAATAAGTAACAGACGACATGGGATAAGTAGACATGAGACCCTTCAGGGCATACATACACTTATCACCATTCTGAGGATAAATCTTGATTCCAAATCTGCTCACTGGGCCTTGGGAGGAAGAAAACCCAGGAAAGTTGTTTGTTTAGTGTTTGTTTGTTTTTGAGTGAGAGAGAGAGAGAGAGAGAGAGAGAGAGAGAAAAGAGAGAGTGGGGGAGGGGCAGAGAGACTGAAGCAGGCTCCAGGCTCTGAGCTGTCAGCACAGAGCCTGATGTGGGGCTCGAATCCATGAACCGCAAGTATATGACCTGAGCCGAAGTCAGACACTCAACTGACTGAGCCACCCAGGCGCCCAGGAACCCAGTCAAGTTTTAAGCAGTGAGGAAGAAATACCTTTTGTACCTTTCCCATGAGACCAGGAGATATCTGGACTGTAGGTGCCATCTTCACACTCGGAGTACGTCTAGAGAGAGAAGCAGACTTAGTGATGGAGTTTCAAGGACTCCCTGGGGCTGCAGGACAAGCAAGGGAGGTCACTCTGCCCCTATACCACCAGCAAGTGACAGAACCTCCCCATTCGTAGGTTCCTTGGCTATAAAGCCAGGACTGTCTTCCAGGTGACACAGAATCAATTGTCTAGAAAGAACCTTTAGTTCCTCAGACTTAATATGAATTAAGTATGAATCGAGTATGAAAGCTATTATTTTACTTAAAAAGATATTATACTTTGCAAGACTGCTGTAGCATTTTAAGCTCACTCACATCCATTTTCTGCTTTAATCCTTGTGTCCACTACACGGTGGGCAGGGCGGGCCATTTACATTGGGGGAGAGCCCCAGGCTGGGTCACAAAGAGGCCTGCGCAAAGTACAAGAGCCGGGAATAAAATCCAGCCTTTCAAAACCCAGTCCGGGGCTCCCCCCACAATTTTATTTTTAAGCAGACACATAATTAGGTTTTAAGCCCCTTTATAAAAGGGAGGATAAAAACACTGACCTACTGAACAGGGCGCTCACAAGCAAGGACGGCAACCGATAGGGAACGGGTCCTGAACCGGTTACGTTTCTACAGCGGCAGGACTGAACCTGCGTGCTCACACAGTTGGCTACACCACATTCTCACAGGAATGTGCTTCCCTGCTAAAGCTCCAAGCAGGATGTGATTATTTTACAGAGACCATCTCTGCCCTTCCTTCCATACCTTTTCTCGGTGACCATAGTGCTCTGCGTACCAAACCATGCCGTACAGACACAGGAAGGTGGTGAAGGCCTGGCAGAGAAAACCAAGCATATTTCATAAAACAATGTTGCACCAAAAAAAAAAAAAAAAAAAAAAAAAAGAAATCCCATTTCCCAGACTTTCAGGGTCTCAACAGTAATGTACAGAGGACGGCTTGATGTGGTGCTACTGTCTCTCTGAGGACACTGGTTACAAAATGGCAGAGCTAGTAGGGTTGGGGAGAGCGTTCCCCCCACAGCTTTTGACAAGAGTTATGACCAGACCGTAGTTACTACTCACGACGCTAATAATCAGAATGCAAGATCATTTTTAGATGTAGGATAAGGTGGGATGTATTTTCTGCACAGTTTTGCAGGTCTTCCTACAGAGGATACATAGGATTGTATATGCTTTATTTCTGGTTCTCACGGCCCATCCTCTGCCCCCATCACTGGAAAGTTACAAGGACTCTCAGTTTGTGAGCTTCCGTGGGGAAGACGAGTTCTGAATGAAAAAGGAGCTTCATTCAGTCTGGGAGCACAGTGGCGCTGGAGGGCATTTAGGACCGAGGCCCACTGTGTCTGAGTGGGTGGCTCTGCACTGCTCTCTCACTGCTGTTTTGTCTCTGTGGCCCCACCCCAACCCCAGTTCTGGTTGCTTTTGTTTTTCTTCTGTAAGTACATAGGAAGTCAGAGAAAACAAAACCGCTCTGTAAACCCCTGAGTGAAATGAGAGGGGCATGGCCTGTGGGTACCCAGAGGCAGGGATAACCTCTACTTCCCCGAGACTCCCCACCCACCTTGCACCACACCCTAAATTATACTCCAATTTAAGCAAAGAATAGCATCTACAAGAGTCCAAAGTTTTAACATGTGCCAAAACACTGAAAATCCGGGAGAAGTTTCTGGGTGCCTTGCCAGAGCACTAAAGGAGAGAGGGAGGGTGTGCCTCAGCATTGTTAAGGACAGATGAACCTCCGCCAGGCCCTCCGGCCAGGCCTGACTTTCCCAACCGTAAATGAATCACCAAAACAAAACAAAATGACTGTCCCTCCTGTCTTTAGAATTCCTTGCCTTAGGAACTCACTGACACCAAAGCACTCTCCCTATCTGGTCTCTGGTTCTTCTCCTGCATTTCCTGTTAAGGCTGTCACCTTGAACCAACTATGTGAACAGTCGTGAAATCATGGTAGAACCTTCTCTTCTGGAATAATTTTAATTCTCTCCAAGAATCGTAACTTTTTAATTTTTAAAAGTTTGTATTAATTTTGAGAGAGAGAGAGAGAGAGAGAGAGAGAGAGAGAGACAGAATACCCCAAGCAGGTTCTATGCTGAGCTCAATCCACAATTGTGGGGCTCAATCCACAACCATGAGATCATGACCTGAGCCAAAATCAAGAGTCAGATACTTAACTGACTGAGCCACTCAGGCACCCCAAAACTAATTCCAGATCCAAAAGATATCATTCATTTCAACTCCTCTCATTTCACAGAAGGGGAATGAATGTTTGGAGAGGTGTCTATTCAAAGGCACACATTTAGTATGTGGCAGAACTGGAGCCTGAACACAGGTCTCTTGATTTTCCTGGATCCAAGGTTTAGGGATGGCTGTAGAGATAAACAAATACTGGTTTTATGTCTACACATCTTTATATCTCTTTCCATCCATCCATCCATCCACTCACCCACCTCCGGAGAAAGAAAAGCATGCCGGGAATAGCCAGGACCAGCAGCATCCCTGTGCACAGCCCCCAGATGCAAGGGTGGAGCCGAGACTGCAGGCAAGGCAGGGCTGTGAACTCTCATCACTGCAGTGTGCAGTCTAGCTCTGGCCCCGTTCCTGTCAGTCAACATTTGTTAAGCGTCTGTTGGGTGTGCAGTATCATCTTAAGTGCAGAAAGACAGGACTATGAGTGCTCTGGCGGGCCTTCTCCTTCTAGGTCAGTGAAGTGGGAATGCCGGCATGGTGGAGACAGAACATGAAATATAAGGCCCACTGCTTCATTTTATTTTAAATCCATATGCAAGTGGACATACATATGCAGATGAGGGATTTAAAGAAAAGGAAGCTCATATCCTCCCCCATCAAAAAATTAGGCAGTGGTAAAGCATAAGAGACTCTTAAAAACTGAGACCAAACTGAGGGTTGATGGGGGATGGGAGGGAGGGGAGGGTGGGTGATGGGTATTGAGGAGGGCACCTTTTGGGGTGAGCACTGGGTGTTGTATGGAAACCAATTTGACAATAGATTTCATATATTGAAAAAAAAAAATTAGGCAGCGGGGGCACCTGGGTGGCTCAGTCGGTTGAGTGTCTGACTTTGTCTCAGGTCATGATCTCACAGTTCATGGGTTCGAGCCCCACATCGACCTCTGTGCCGACAGCTCAGAGCCTGGAGCCTGCTTCGGATTCTGTGCCTCCCTCTCTCTCTGCCCCTCCCCTGCTTGTGCTCTCTCTCTCTCCTAAAAGGAAATAAACACTTAAAAAAAATTTTTTTTGAATTAGGCAATGAATGAATACATTAAGATTATAAAGTGAAAGTAACTTCTACCCTTTAACATATTGTAGTACTTGCTCAGATTTCTAATATACACCACCATTAAATGTACCATCTTCACGGCATGGAAAGAGTGGGGAAGACTAGAGCATTTTCAGTGTGTAAGCTTATGTACGTGTTTGCTCCTTTACGAAGGGCAAAACAGACTGTCCTAGGTTTGAGGGAGTGGAGCGTGGGAGTCCCACGTCCCCAGACCAGTCATGGAGACCAGTCATCGCGGTGTGATGGAGGTGGGGAGGCTGGCAGGCAGCTGCTACTCCACAGGACGAAGGGGCGGTGAGCGCAGGGCTGCCCGTCATTGCGGATTCTGCCCACTGGAGGGCAGGAGTGCGGTGCTCTGCCTTCTCCAGCCCTGTCCCTGCGAGGACAGAATGGGCTTTGCAGCTTGCAGGCAGGCAAACACTGGCAGGTCAGGAGCGACAGGTGCTTATCATCACAATCGCCACACAAAGGGGCCGCTGTGGTTGCCAAATTTACCACTTCACCTGGGTACTTAGAGGCCCAAGTCACACTTGTCCCAGGAGACAAAAGCTTGTAATTTATGGGTTCGCAAGCACACCTGTGAAAACCTAGGCACGCATCCACTTAAAATGTCAGGGCCTGGATTTAAAATAGCAATTGTACAGATTTTGTTTAAAGAAAGAGAAGGAAAAAAAAAAAGAGAAAGAAGAAAACTATGTGGGATGAGAGCCAAGGCAGCACACGACAGCATCATGTGTGGTGGCAATGAGGGTGGAAGATCTCCCCTGGCTTCCAGTCAGGGTAATGAGCATGCAAATTGCCGATGACTGATCACACAACCGCTGAGGAGAAACTCAACTAACCGGCATGCGGGAATCTCTGCTTCTGCATTAATCTCGAGGTCTGGAGATATTCTCTTACCAAGCAAGGGAAATAATTAGGGGCTTTGTTTCTCTGAGGAGTAAGGGAGGCATGGTCAAACCTAACTCTCCTACTGAATAATGTTCACCTCACTCCAATCTTGATGTTTAGTAAAGGCCATGAATATGGGCAGTGGAGACATCTAATTATCCCGGCCAATGGTCTCTTTTTGGGCCAGGTCCCCCTCCATGGCACCGATAATGCTCATTAGGGGATTCTGCTTCTTCAAAGGCCTGCTCTCCTGAGTCTGTTTCTCAGGCCTGGCCTCTTAAATGTGGCTGCTCCACAGACCATCCTCGGCCAGCTTCTCCTGCCTACGCGGTGTTCCCCTACCCGAATCCAGCGGCTCCCACCATGCCCTGTGCACCAGTGGCCCTCAACTATTTCACCTCTATTGCTGACCAAGTCTTTCCAGTGTTACTGGACAGACTGGCATTTCCCACAATACGGGACACCTTCAGCTATTAGTTCTAAGGGTCCCTCAAATCCCAGCACTCTAACCCAATTCATCTCCTTTCACTCAACCGGCTTCTGTGATATCCCCCAATCTGTTACTACCACCAACACTGCCACCCAGTGGCACAAACTAGAAACCGTGGAGTCACTCACACTCTCACAAGGGGTTGGCGTCCTGTTGAGCTGACCCTCTTGAACAGCTCTCAAATCCAGCCCTCTCTCTGCATCTTCCACGCCACCACCCTTGGGTAAGCCTCAGTTATTTCTTTCTGGGATCCTCAACCCCCTCAGACAGCACCTCTCCTCCCTCGGGACTCTCCCACCCATGCAGCCTTTCTCTGCGAACAGGTGTCTTCCCACTGAATTATTGCCTCTGGATCTCCAACTACAGACACATAGGGTCTTTCCTGAGCAGATGTCCCACGTCCCCTCCCCCCCTCACTCTCCTCACTCTCGTTCCCCAAACAGCTTGCCGTCTTCCTGAGAAGCTGGGCATGGGCACAGCTGCATGTTTTCATACATGCCTGTCTCTCAGCCTGCCTGTACGTCTGTCTCCTGGTCTCTGCCTCTTGAACTCATTCCTTTATTCTCCATGCATTTGCCGAGTGAGTCCTATGCATCAGGGACCGCACTAGAATCAGTGGGGACAAAAAGACAACAAAAACTTAGTCTTCGTGAGCAAGAAGTACAATGCTGGGGAGACAGATGTAAACACTGCAAGTTACATTACACTGAGGTTAGAACTCAATGAAATATGTACCAAGTGTGACTGGTCCCCCAAGGGGAGTTATCCAGGCCACCTGGCAGATCAGGGTGCACTTCATGGAGGGTGTGAATTTAGTTTGATCTTGGCATAAGAGTCACTAGGTAGAAAAAGAAGGGAAAAGCACTTAGCCCAGGCAAAGAAGATGCCCTGGATGAGGACAAGAGAAGTCTGGAAGGATGATTTGTTGAGGTGGCTACATCCAGTTTGGGGTGGCCCAAGAAGAAAGTACAAGAGGGCGGGTATGATGAATGCTCCAGATAATGACCGTCCTAAACACACAAGCAACATATTTCAGCTGGCAGGATGTGTGGTAGGGATCCTTCTTCCTTCTTGATGTTTCTTTCTACACAGACAGAGTTTTGCTGGTATAATACCCCTGCTCCTTTCCACCCCAGGGAGAACGAGTTCTCTCTTAACCAACTGGTCAATCTGAGATAAGGAAGCTGGACATTTCCTGTCTTCCTTGGGTGCAAGGCCACTTACACAACACAGTGAGGCCTGCTTCCTGGGGTGGGAGAGTGTCTCATTCGAGGATTCACTGTTCACAAACCCCTTGTTGCCATGCATCTAAAGCTGAGATTGAAAAATGTGTATCGTCAGTGATAAAGATGCTATTCTGATCTCTACATCCTTCTTTCACCCTGTCTTTTAACTATTCTGAACTGAAAAGTGTTGTATTATTGACTCCTCTACACCCCCGACGGCAGGGAATGGTTCTGAGCAGGGAAAGAGATTCAGATATGAGTTCTAGAAGACAGCCTGGCAGCAGCGTAGAGAGTGGGTCTGAAGAGCAGAATGGGGAGGAACACGTATGTCCAGACAGTGGGAATGGAGAGGAGGGGACGGAGATGGGCTACATAGCTGGTTGGGATGGACAGAACCTGGCGACCTGCTGATTTCAAGAGTGACAGAGGAGAGGAAGCAGCCTGTAAGGTTTTCAGCTGGGAGAGCATCCGTGGCAACCCTTCAAAATCATGCTCACATGTTACATCCAGGGAGCCCTCAGCAGCTCCCCGGCTCGTCTGGTGCTCTCTAGTGCCCGTTTAGCACTACGTTCACACCCTTCACAATGGTTATCACACATGAACATGATGAGATTGCGTGGACAATTCCCGTCTGGACTTGGACAGCCTTGGAAGGGGACACCTTTTGCAGGGGGGTGGGTGGGGGAACACAAACTCTCTTGTCAGACCATCTGGATGTAGGCCCTGGCTCTGCCACCTACTACCTGTGTGACCTTGAAGCCAGTTAGTGAACCTCTCTTTGCCTTTATTTCATCTATAAAAGAGGGCTAATAAAGTATCTCCCCTCAAAGCAACAATCAAACACGTAATTCATGAGAATTGCTTAGAAGAGAGCCTGGCATGTAGTGACCATTAATAAATCTTATCTTGACCATCATCTATCTTCGTGGGACCAGCATTGGGTGCAGTTTTGATGAACACTCAGTAAACGTTCTGTGAACAAATGACAGACTTACAGGGACCATGCCAGGGGAAGGAGAGACCAATAAGGAGACAAGAAGTGATTCGTGTCCTCAATGAAGGGACAATTACACAGGCACCAAGGCAAACCAAAAGTCACCAACATAAGGGAGCATATGCTGAGTGTCAAATAAGTAAAATGGAGAAAAGTCTCGAGAACTGAGAGACTAGAAGAGCCCCTGCAGGGCAGGTGGCCAGACAGGGCTTCTTGGACATGGCCTTGAGAAGACCCTTCTGGCCACAGACACCCCAGGGTGGGGTTGTATGCGGGCGTTGTGAGAACAGCTGCTGCCCATGTCCCAGGAGTCCCACCTGCCTCAGCCTCTCTGCGGTCCCCACGGCTCCGGCACCAGGAGAGGGCCACACCCACCTCTGCCTGCCCTCCACACTCGGTCACAGAACTATTCATACACCTGAGGTGCACGTGCCAGAGAAAAGTGGGAGAGCACACAGTTAAAATCTCCGGGCACATGTAAACACACTCCCCTAACCAATTCTTACATCTAGTTTCACTGGGCTGGAAAAAAACCACTCGAACGTTAATTCTGGACGGTAGGTACAAAGGAAATCATTATTCCCTTTTGCTGTTCAAGACAAAATGGGACAGAACAGGCTCAAGGTTCTCTGGTGCAGTTAGGATTTCTAACAAGTAACCCTAAAAATAGACGCCGTGAAAGGCAATAAAAAACACCTTAAAAACACAAAGTCTTGCCAAAAAAAAAAAGTAGACCTGAATCCGATTAAGCCTCTAGATTCAGCTACTAATTTGCAGAAAATACAAAGGACAAAGAAATCTGTTAAATTACAGTACACTACAAAAGCAGTAAAATCCAGACTGTGGGAAAATCTATGGGACAAAGAGCTGGATCCTTCAACAAATAAATCGTGAAGGAGAGAGAGCCAGAGACAGAGGGAAAACTATACATTAAGAGACTTAAAGGGCACGCCAACCAATTGCAACAAGTGGATGTTGATTCAAATAGACTGTTCAAAAAATATATAATTTTTAAAAATATTAAAAGTCTGAACACTGATTAGATATTTAATAGTATTATGAAATTATTCTTTTTCAGATGTGATAACGGTATGGTGGTTGCATTAAACAAGAAAGCATTCTTACCTTCTTTTAGAGATACATCCTGAAATATTAAAGGTGGATCTGTTCCAAAATAATTCAGCATGGGGATAGAGAGTAGGGAATACAAGGAAACAAGACTGTGCACGAGGTGAGCATTGTTGAAACTGGAGGATGGAGGGGCGCCTGGGTGGCTCAGTCAGTTTAGTGTCCGACTTTGGCTCAGGTCATGATCTCGCGGTTTGTGAGTTCAAGCCCCAAGTTGGGCTCTGTGCTGACAGCTCAGAGCCTGGAGCCTGCTTTGGATTCTGTCTCTCCCCCTATCTCTGCCCCTCCCCTGCTCATGCTCTGTCTCTCAATAATAAATAAACATTAAAAAAAAAAAAAAAGAAACTGGAAGATAGATGGGTACATGAGGGGTCATCTACTCTACTTCCCCATATGTTTTAAATTTTCTATGATTACCAAGAAAACCCAAACTAATTTTCTGGACCAACCAAGTAAAAGTGAAGAATCTTAAGCTTAACATAAGACTTCTGTCCAAAATAATAAAAAAAATTAAGAAGGGCAGACACAGAATGCTTAAGGTAGGTTAAGATCTTACTTAATTTTATTTTTTTTTAAGATTATTTATTTTAGAGAGAGAAAGGGGGAGAGAGAGAGAGAGATTGAGAGAGAGAGAGAGAGAGAGAGAGAATCCCAAGCAGGTTCTGCACTCAGTGCAGAGCCTGACTCAGGGCTCTGTCTCATGAACCGCGAGATCATGACCTGAGCCGAAAACACGAGTCAGATGCCCAACCAACTGAGCCATGATTGAGCCCTACATTGGTGCACAGCCTAATTGGGATTCTCTGTCTCCCTCTCTCTCTGCCCCTCCCCTGCTCATTCTCTCTCTCTCTCTCAAAAAAAATAAATAGACATGAAAAAAATAAAGAAAGATGGGGCTCCTGGGTGGCTCAGTCAGTTAAGCGTCTGACTTCAGCTCAGGTCATGATCGCAGTCCATGAGTTCGAGCCCCATGTCGGGCTCTGTGTTGACAGCTCAGAGCCTGGAGCCTGTTTCAGATTCTGTGTCTCCCTCTCTCTCTGACCTTCCCCCGTTCATGCTCTGTCTCTCTCTGTCTCAAAAATAAACAAACGTTAAAAAAAAATTTTTTTTAAGAAAGAAAGAAAGAAAGAAAGAAAGAAAGAAAGAAAGAAAGAAAGAAAGATAGATGACGGAAAAGTCCCAGGACAGTGGAGCTAGAGGCCCCCAAGGGCTCTTCCCTTCAGACAGGAAGGTCGGCTCATAGGGTTTGGCCCCTTAAGTCAGCCTGTGGGGCAGAAACTGCATGGTCTGATTACCTTCAAGAACATCTCTCAAGACCTATAAACCACAGTCCATCATTTTGTCCATAAACACTTGTACAGCAATATGTAACACTGTAACACCCTTGCTCCTTCATGGAGGCCTGCATGTAGGTGAATTCTCACAAGTGAAATTTATGCATGTATGGTGTACCTGCTGAGGGCATTTGACCAGAACTTACCAAGGTGACCTGCTTTGGATGCTGGGTGGTCCCATGTATTTAATCTTGACCTTCAGACTAGTGGCCAATTTTGGGTGATTACAAGCAGAAGGTCCGGTCTATGAATTTCTAAAAAAACTAGGTGCACAAGAATTTTTGCTGTTGTTGTTGGTTTTTTTAAAGAGACACCATGAGGAGTTTCACTAACACTTTCGGGTAAAAAAGTGATCTTTTTAAAAAAATAATAAACTTACCACACAAAGAAGCCAAAGCACAACATATAGTATTTGGGTCTTAGAGAAGAGATCTTGTCCAAATTTTATGCACACGATAGCTTCCAGGAAACCAATGACCCTAGTTAGAACAAGAGGTTAAATATTAATTCATCTTATCAGAGCATATACATTCTACATAAATATGCCTTATGCCATCATGACACACTGATAGCAGGTTCCCCACAAAATGACACTTGTTCTCTTCCATTGCAATTTCTTCAGAAATAACATATATATTTATATTTAGTACTTAGCTTCTTTTACTGTTACTCACTTCTTCCCTCCTCCCAGAACAGAACCTCCACTCATACATTTTAATAGCTGCAAGCATCCAGATGAGTGCCTATCACGTTCGAGATGAACTGTCACCACCTCTGTTGGCACCCTCTCAAGTGACAGAGAACCTACTACCTTGGCAGGTGGGCTTATTCCGCCACTCAATCTCTTTAGCTGTGGGGAAGTTCTCCTTGTCTCAGGCTGGTATCTGCCTCCGCCTGCCCGTGGGTCCTAACTCTGCCCTCCTGTCCTACAGGGTGAGTCTGAGCCTTCCAAGCCAAGTTTTTCAGTAATTTGAAGGCAGCAATCACATTCCCTCCCAGACTTCCAAGCATTTCCAGGTTCAATATTCCCCATTCTGGATGACAATAAAGTAAGCCTTTATCCTCTAAATATAAAAATGTTAAAAAACTACAACAACAACTTTGTTTTACTTTTTAATTAAAAGAGCAAAGAAAAACACCACTTTTATGTTCTGCACCTTCATTTATGAATATTAAAATCAAACCTTAAAATTAAAAACTCAGAAAACAACAGATGTTGGTGAGAACATGGAGAAAGAGGAACACTTTTGCACTGCTGGTGGGAATGCAAACTGGCACAGCTACTCTGGAGAACGGTATGGAGGTTCCTCAAAAAATTAAAAACAGGGGCGCCTGGGTGGCTCCGTCAGTTAAGTGTCCGACTTCAGCTCAGGACATGATCTCACGGTTTGTGAGTTTGAGCCCCGCGTAGGGCTCTGTGCTGACAGCTCAGAGCCTGGAGCCTGCTTCGGATTCTGTGTCTCCCTCTCTCTCTGCCCCCCACCCCCACTCATGCTCTATCTCTCTCTGTCTCTCAATAATAAATAAATGTTAAAAAAAAATTTTTTTTTTAATTAAAAACAGAGCTACCCTATGACCCAGAAATTGTACTACTAGGTATTTATCCAAAGGATACAAAAATGCTGGTTCAAAGAGGCATGTGCACCCCAATGTTTACAGCAGCACTATCAACAATAGCCAAATTATGGAAAGAGCCCAAATGTCCATGGATTGATGAATGGATAGATACGATATATATACACACAATGGAATACTACTTGGTAATCAAAAAGAATGAAATCTTGTCATTTGCAACAACACGGATGGAACTAGAATATATTATGCTAAGCAAAGTAAGTCAGTCAGAGAAAGACAAATATGATTTCACTCATGTAGAATTTAAGAAACAAAACAGGTGAACATAGGAGAAGGGGAGGAAAAATAAGATAAAAACAGAGAGGGAGGCAAACCATGAGAGACTCTTAAATACAGAGAACAAACTGAGGGCAAGTCGCTGGAGGGTAGGTGGGGGGGGTTGCTAAATGGGGGATGGACATTAAGGAGGTCACTTGTTGGGATGAGCACTGAGTGTTATATGTAAGTGATGAGTCACTAAATTCTACTCCTGAAACCATTATTACATTATATGTTAACTAACTTGGATTTAAATAAAATTTTTAAAAGGTTTAAAAAGATCAGGCCTTTATTAAGGTTCCAAGCTCGTAGTTAAGAACGGATGAGGTGAGCATGAGCTGGCCACGTGATCCCAAAGATGACCCAAGAATATTGATTTCAGACAACTCCACTTCAGGGGTTCCTTACTCCAGATGGAATCTGGTCAATCAGGGTTGGTGTAGTCGCACAGATATTCTCTCAAAAGGCAAGAAGGGGCCCAGAAGGTCCTTGGTCCCCCTACCCATGGGAAGACCCAAAGATCACTCCCAGCATCAAATGTACAGATGACTCTAAACAACTGAACACCCCAAATCTGAACCAAAGCAGAAAATCTCCTTAATTTATCTTTCGAGAGTTTGGGACTCTTTTCCCCTAGCCCCAACCAAACAATGTTTAGGAGTGGCTGGCCTGAATCTTTAAAGACCTTCCCCAACCCACGCACCGCCCCCCCCCCCAACAAAGTACATGTGTGAGAAAGCATCATTCTAGCTGCAATACACGACAGGCTTTTAAGTGTAGGGCTGAGTGTCGCTAGAATCCTCAAGTCCGGGCTGTGAGCCCACACTAGATGGCAGCACAGTGCAAAGTGGTGCCTGTGGAGGAGACTCAGAAAGAACATTTAGTTTAACTTTTGGCTGGGACTTCTTGAAGAACAGCAAATGCTCAGCCCAGAAAGTCAGTGTGCTTATCTGCTCTTAAGCCAGACTGAAATGTCAGAGTTTCCTGTGAGAATTTGGGGTATTCAACTTGATCAACTCACCTTTCAAAAACACAGTAACTAGGGCCATGATTCTCAAACTTTTATGATCTGAGACCCACAGCAAGAAACACATTTTTTGTGAGCTAGTAGACACACACACACACACACACACACACACACACACACACCTGAAACAAAAGTTTTGCAAAACAATCTGTTCCTTTACTTTGACATTTTTTTGTATTCTATTTCACGTTAAGAAAATGTTGGCAGGACCCACTCAACTGACTTCACAATGACCTGAAGTTAAAGACCACAGAGCATTTCAGTCAGCAAATTTAGGGTTAGGATTTGCTCATCTGTGCTGAGGAAATCTTACGTAAGCTGCTGTCCATGTGCGTGGACTTCTCAGTGAGAACGTGACCACTGAGCAAAGCAGGGTGGGGGGAAGTGAGGGGAAGGGGCATAGTTGAGTCACAGGGCAACGCGGGTCGTGAGGGCCACACTAGGGCTTGGCTTTTAGTCTGAGGGAGGGTTTTGAGCAAAAAGTTTTTTCACATGATTCAATTTGCATTTTAATTTGCTCATTCTGGCGGCAGGAACAGGGAGCCTTCTAATCTAGGGAGGCGACCCAGGGAGTAGCTGCAGAGTTGTGAGAAGCAGTGGGAACTGGGATACATTAAACCCAGCAATCACATGGACCCTTTCACCACCCGTCATTGCCCCTCCGCCGTTATCCCTGGCCCCTGGAGGGAATCCCAATAAATAAAGTCCTTAAGGAAGGCTAACATCACTTTTGTATAAGACCCAATGGCTGCCCCTTTAGGGTTGAGTCCAAAGGCTCAGGAGCACTGGGAGCCCATATTATTGAGCCTGTCACCTGCGAAAGCACAACCTCCTCACCAAGGGGGTGGGGGGAGCAAATTTAAATCTATCTGATCTTTACCAGACTGAACTAGGTGGCCAAACTGTGGTTTGGTGGAATTCAGTCGGGGCTGCTACTTTCTTAGATGCCTCCGCCCATCCTTATCCTTAATTAGCAAGGTGAGGCGCTCCTGCCTGGGGACGAGGCTGGTCAGCTGACTGGGACCTTTTCAGCTTCCCAGACCTGCGGAGCCTGCTCTTTCCAGACATGGTAGAAATAAAGATGACAGGAACGTGGGGTCCAGGGTAAGGAGCTCTTCAGTGAATGGGATAAGAATGTAAGCAGAGTCACTGCAGAAACTTGGGGCACAAAAGCACTAGGCTCCACATGTATAAACTGGGTGGCCGAGCCAACCCTGACAAGTGGAAAAAGTTTTCAGTTCGCCAACAAGACCTGCTTTTGGATTCTGAGGATGCCACGGCCTCCATGCACCTCGCATATACTGCATATACTGCCCCATGGCTGTGCCAGAATACACTGCTGGAAAAAAAAAATAAATAAAAATAAAAAATAAAAAAAAAAAAAAGAATACACTGCTGGGATGGCTCAGGGGGTGGGTGAGCCGCTCTGTCGGGCCAGCCAGGAGCTGACCCTCCAGCAGTGGAAATGAGACGTGCAAATCTGTGACACACCTACCGCACAGTCACACAGGCAGCCAGGAACTGCTCCTGCGGTTCAGGAGTCAGGCTCCGGTTCAGACTAGGGGAAGCAGACGCACCTTTGTAGAGACAGTCATAGATGGGCTAGGCTTTACCAGCTAGAAAAAAAAAGGTTCAACCGTGTTCCATGGAACTTTCTTTTTTTTTAAATTTTTTTTTTCAACGTTTATTTATTTTTGGGACAGAGAGAGACAGAGCATGAACGGGCGAGGGGCAGAGAGAGAGGGAGACACAGAATCGGAAACAGGCTCCAGGCTCTGAGCCATCAGCCCAGAGCCCGACGTGGGGCTCGAACTCACGGACTGTGAGATCGTGACCTGGTTGAAGTCGGACGCTTAACCGACTGCGCCACCCAGGCGCCCCTCCATGGAACTTTCTGACTTCCCAAGAACCCCAGGGGCAGGGTGGGGTGGTTGGGGACAGGGACAAAAGGGTCCTCACCTTGACAGTTCTGCTCAATTGTTTCTTTCTTCTAAAGTTTATTTATTTATTTTGAGGGGATGGAGGGGACAGAGAGTGAGAACGTGAGCAAGGGAGAGGGACAGAGAGAGGGGTGGAGAGAGAATCCCAAGCAGGCTCTGCACCATCAGTGCAGAGAGCCTGAGGTGGGACTCAAACCCACGAACCATGAGATCACGACCTGAGCCGAAATCAACAGTCAGACACTCAACTGACTAAGCCACCCAGGCTTAGTCAATTGTTTTGCTCTCTATTAGGATTTGGGGCAAGATGTCATTTGGGGAAAGGGATTCAACTGCTAAAAAAAACTTCTGTGCCTACCACCGAGGTTTGGGGCTAAGACTGGAGGGGTTTTTGAGGAAGGAAGCATGGGTGGCGGGATAAAGGAAGGACGGACTATCGATCGTGAGGAGGACAGGATGAAGGGGAAGACACGAGAAAAGGGAAACTAGAATGCTACCCCAGCAGTGTGAGCACGGAGGGCACGACACAGAGGTGGGCAGATGGGGAGAGAAGGTGAGGAGGGCAGGAGGCTGGGAACAAAGGTCAACAGCAGGAAGGTGAGGGCTGTGCTGGGAAAAGGTCAGAGTGGGATGACACCTCCCACAGAAGTCTATTCCCCTCACATGCACCCTCCTCCTGGAAGGACTCTATGCCTCACAGCTGTTGTCTATCCTTCCGGGGGTAGGGGAGCATAGGGGGAAAAGCCTGAAAGAACAAGTACCATTGCAAGAAACTGTGGAAAGGAGTGACGTGGAATGGACAGCCCGCAGAGGAAACCGAGAAGGAACAGTTTCAAGATGGCAGATGCCGCGGGGAAGACAGGGGAAATGCGGGTGGAGGAAGGGCCTGCTGACTTGGGACTGACCTTGGCGAGAACAGTGCAGCAGAGCACCGGAGACGTGAGGCTTATCATCAAAGGGGCACCAGTTGGGTTAGGACAACATGGAGCAAAGGACAGTTCTGAGAGTGAGGCGGACGTGGTCCTGGAGCCCCTGGGGAACAGTGGACTCTTACCCAACCCAGCCCCTGAAGGCTCCACCCAAGTACTTTCAGGGGAAGGAAAAGTGATTACTCACTCCTGCTATGGCCAAAGCGTGGACACCTTCCTTCAGGGCCATGCAATCAAAATCCTTTCTTTATAAATCAGGCTACTTCCCTCTTGTTCAGAAACAGTTATGATGAGGGCAGAGTGGGGAGAAAGACGAAGATAAACATGGTATAAAGTGCTCCCCTGGGGAATCTGTTCCTATCGGTCTGGGCCTAACACCCCCACAGAGCTGGAGTAGTGTAATGGGACTTTCTAAAGACAGAAGAGGCCAGCTTTTACACACTACTGCTTTCTCCTTGGTGGGGTTCCCATTCCCTAGCTGGATGGAGTCCCATCTCTCCGCTGGGCACGGCAGGTTTGGGTATAAAAAGCTTAAAAGCTCAGTTTTATGGTACAACTGTGGGAGACCACATTGTAAGTCCGTATTTAATTAATACAAACCCTTTCAGGGTATAACGTTTACAGAAAAGTGCTCTCTTCAGGAGAAAAAGATGCAATGGTGGGTCAGACACCTCAGGGGCTCCTGTTTGCCCTTTCCCTTCCCCCGCCCACCTCCGCAAAGGCAAAAATTTGACTGTGGCTATGTGGGGCGCTCCTATTCCCCCCCCCCACACCTTGCTAAATGAAGCCTGAAATTGTTCCAAAACTAGTGAAAAGGAGCTATAAAACAGCTACTAGGAGACGGGAAAAAGACAAAACGAGGGCAACAGGAACGGGGCAGAAGAGGGGAGGTGGTGGCCTCCAAGGGGCAAACCTGCAGAGAGAAGACAGCTCAGGCCCCGTGTTTCCCTGCCGCTGGCTGACGAGAGGTGGCTCTTGCGTGTGCTCACACCCCCAGGCGGATGGCTGTGTGAGGTTTACGGACAGGAATGTTCTTTCCGGCATGGCCCGCTAGTTCTCAAGGTGCGTGTCCTGATACCACCATCCTGGGAGCTCGCAATTCTCGGAGAGCATACTCAATAAGCCAAATGATGTCTCCTTTGCATTTTACTTTACTTGAGCCCTTTTCAACAACGTGTGACTTTCTGCAGCAGCGTTTTGTGCCGCTCCAGCCCCATTTATCTTTGCCATTTCTCCCACCGCTAGGGATTGTATTTTTCGGCTGCCCGATTAGAAACCAACTGTGCTGCCACACTGCCACTTTCTCTGATCAGCACCTCCTTTTCCTCAACAGGTAAAACAGAGACAAGTCATGTGGAGCATACGTGCACTCGCAGCAGAATAAGGCTTTGGCAAGGACTTCTGAGTCTGAAGAGGCAACTAAGTGTGGAAAGAAGGCACAGGCAGTGGAGGAGGGCTCAGACGCTCTGTGGACGAGGTGCGAGAACAACGCTTCCTTTCCTCCTTGGATGGGACAGTAAGGAGAGCCCGTCTACCTCCTTTTTGTGACTACAACAGTGCGGTCGCATGGCCTTTGCTCTGTATCTCAGAAATCCGGTAAACGTGTAAATTCTCTCTCCTGCTAGATTACTAAACAATGGAAAGCCAACCCACGTTATCACCCCATAAGCTACTCTGGGTATGAAAATCAGCTTACATCACAGAATGTATGAGAATTAAGGACAATGGCCCTTTGTGTTTTAGGTGGGAGGGGGAAGCCTGCCTACATCTTTAACTTGAGCAAGCCCTCAGAATCTGAAATTGGAGCTGACACACACCCACACAGGAAAATGTTTAGAAAGAGTAACATAGAAAGGTTAAGGACAGTGATCCCTGATGGGCTAACTTCTTTGGATGATCTTTAGTTTCTTCTTTTGCCACTTTTTCTAATCTAAACATATGAATTACCTTCTCACTGGGGAAAAAAAAAAAGTTACTCTGCTTAAAAATCTGCTGAAAGTAGTAACTTCTTGCCTACTATGGGTATTCATTTTTATGTTGTCACACTCAATTTAGAACCTAAATTAGGTCTTGAGTCTAAGCTACCTCAGGGACTTAACTTCACACAGATGTGCTACACAACTACAGAACCTCGGCTGCTAAATGGAATGGTAAATTGTTGGCCGAATTTAAGCAAAAGAACCACTTACCTGAGACACTGAAGATGGCCTCACATTTAACACTGCAGGGTTAGACTAGTTAGCCTATGGTCTCTTTTTTTTTTTTTTTTTTTAACGTTTATTTATTTTTGGGACAGAGAGAGACAGAGCATGAACGGGGGAGGGGCAGAGAGAGAGGGAGACACAGAATCAGAAACAGGCTCCAGGCTCTGAGCCATCAGCCCAGAGCCCGACGTGGGGCTCGAACTCACGGACCGCGAGATCGTGACCTGGCTGAAGTCGGACGCTTAACCGACTGCGCCACCCAGGCGCCCCGCCTATGGTCTCTTTCAAATCATTTAAATAATAATACTTTAAGATAGCATTTGTATCTGTAACAAGACAATAAATTGTGACTGTGTGGCTGTATGTTAGTTCTCCTTGGAACAATAAAATTATACCTTGGTAGGCAGCAAGCAGCTGTTTTGAGCAGGCTTTTTGATGTAAAAGTAACATAAAGCATCACTAAGCCTATCATGAAATGATGTCCCAAACTTGTCACCAAATTTAGAGGGAATTCGAACAATCCGTTGTCTATCTAATTTATTTCATAAAATAAGGTCTCTGAGTTCCATGCAGCAAATATCTTTTGATTTCCTTTTTTTTGTAAGAAAAGAAAAAAAAAAAAAGTCTGTATGTCCTCTTTCTATAATTTGCCAATTAACTACAATATTCTAAACTTAAATCAGAAAAGAGAATGTTAAAAATGAAAAGACATATAACAAAACAATAGCAAGCCTTCATAGGAAGATTGTACTGAAAGGCACTTAATACAGGGTCAAGAAATAACCAAGGAAATTTAGAGGCTTAAGTGGTTTTTAAGCCTCCACAATAATAGATTACTCACCCAAACACCCAGCACTGTGTTCCTACGCGTTTGCACTGTGTGTCAGTGAGGTAAGCATAGTACTGCCTGAAAGAACAAAGATGGAATTCAATGAAAGCTTCTGGAAGATCAATGGGTCAGCATAAAATTAAATCACTTTGACAGGATAAATATAAAAGATGTTCCGACTTGTTCTACATACTCCGGCTAAGTGGTCTACTTCTAGTCAAGGGAATGAGAAGCCAGTGGCTGCTGGAACATTCCTATAAAAGGTGAAGAGTTTGGGCTGGGTTGGAGTGGAGAGAGCATGGCTTAAAGAGCTGAGTATTCACAAAGGCAGTTTTGATTCAGGGACAGAATGGGTGCTTCAGTCTCTCTGCAGGGAAGTGATTCCAGAGGGTCACCTACACTGTCATGAATGGTCTCCTCTGGCACTCTCCAGGACAAAGGTTGCCGATTGTAACCGGGCAGGGCAGACACACACTTTTGGCTCTCAGAAACTGGAATGGGATCCCGCATGCAGGTCACTGTTCACTCAATACCAATGACTTTGAATGTTACTGACGAGCTCAGAAAAATGAGGCAATGACATGGAGTTGAAAAGCTTAGAGCAGCACTGTCCTACGTAAATATAATACAAGCCACAAATGCAGTTTCAAATCTTCCGGCCTCCACGTTAAAGCAAAAAGAAACAAGATAATAGATGTTTTAGTAACATGTTATTTAACCCAGTGTATTGAAAACAACACTAATGAAGTATTTTACAAGGTTTCTGCACTAAGTTTTTGCACAAAATCCGGTGTGTATTTAACATGTACAACATTTCAACACAGACTGGCCACACTTCCTGTGCTCAGCCGCCACATATGGTAGGGTGAGTGGCTGCTGTTAGGACAGTGCACGTTTAGACCCTCATGACCACCCCCAAAACCCAATTCGTCCCTTCAGAAGTAGCATCTGAAGCAGGAGCTCATCATCTTTTTGTAGGTCACAGACTTTTTTGAGGATTTAATGAAACCTATAATAAGGGGCACGAACACACAAAATGTTGCATTAAGTTGCAGGGGACTCATGGATACCTGAAGGTCATCCACAAACTATCATCTCTTCACTCCAAAGGCCTGAGTGAAGAATTCTAGTCATGAAGAATTCAGGTCTACCTCTCACATTTTCATGGCCTAGTATGTTTTTACCACTTCAGCTTCTCTCCCCTCCAACTGTAGCCATCCCTTTACACTGTACTTGATATTATCAGAGTAAGAGAAGGTTCAGTCAAACTTCTTCGCAAAGCAGGAGGGTCGAATCAAAAGGGAAGGAAATGGAGATGTGGTCCGTATGATTTATTTATCCGAAAGCCTGTAAGCTTTCTCTCCTTTTAGGGACTGCCATTTGCTACCTGGGGTGGCCGGGTGAGAACCCATTAGAACACTTCCATCTTCCCAAGTAGCTTGCCAAAGCATCTTCTTACATAGGAAATGCCTCAAGTTGGTATGAGAGCACAGAAAAGGGGCTGACTTTTAAACGAAAAAGAAATCATGTAGACATCCACAGCGTTGGGCAGAAATTTTAAGGAGCTCTCAAAAACTTAAAACACTGAGGGGCGCCTGGGTGGCTCAGTCGGTTAAACAGCCGACTTCAGCTCAGGTCACGATCTCGCAGTCCATGAGTTCGAGCCCCGCATCGGGCTCTGTGCTGACAGCTCGGAGCCCGGAGCCTGTTTCAGATTCTGTGTCTCCCTCTCTCTCTGACCCTCCCCCGTTCATGCTCTGTCTCTCTCTGTCTCAAAAATAAATAAACGTTAAAAAAAAAAAAATTTATAAAAAAAAAATATATAATAAAATAAAATAAAACACTGGACATGTAGCCTCTGGTCTTTGTTTTGAAATGTTTAGCAATATTGAAATTTCATGATAAATCAGATGTGATTTGTGATTCTGTTTTATATATAAGCGATTTCTTTCCCCACTTACTGACTTTGTTGATCACTCCTAAATTAATGAAAAAGCTGCTGCTAATCTTTCTTGAAAATAACTGTGAGCCTCAAATTAGATTAAATTTTAAATGAGAAAGGGAGGCTCCAATCCACCAAGGGAAAATAGCATTTATGAGAAAACCACTTCAACAGACCATTGGTCTATAACGTGTCAAAACTCTGCCTGCCTACCAACTAGTGGGTTTCCTGTTTGGTCCTTAAAGAAAACAAGAGGTGGAATTTTAGGTCTTAACTTCCCAGGACTCAGTTCTATCTTATTTGGTTTGTTCAATCCGGGATCTGCGCCACAGGAGGAGGGAGGCAAGGGGAGGAGATATATATAGATACAGATGGTTATCTATATCTATCTGTTTCCTCTTTGTAATAATTAATGAAGACAGAAGAGGTTTGACCAAGGAGAATACAGACTCTTCTTGGCAAGTGAGGCCCTCTGCTTTTGTGGTTTGCATGAACATTGAAACTGATGACTTAAGTTATTCTACAGCTACAGCTTCTGAAGCTAACTCTTGTAGCTGCTTACTATCTATTTGTATCTTTGTAACTTTGCAGATACCTCTGGTGTTGTTAGTGAATCAATGGCGGTGCTTCACATGAATTGTCAAACCCCAATGCTGTTAGTTCTAGACAGGAGGAATGAAACAAATGACTGTTGGTCTCTGATGTGCACTGGGATCAGTCTGCATGAGCGACAGTCACCAAATCACACCTCACCTCTGGGGCCCTACCCAGGTCAGAAGCATAATGGCATGAATATCTAAGCTGATCTCACTTGTCCTGGAAGATGACAGGAAGGATGCTGATAAAAGGAAAGTAACTGGCTCTAAAATAGCATCATTTGTGACTTCAGATCCAACATTAAAACTTTTGTATTTTTCGATCACCTCATTAAAAACAAAAAAAAGTCAGCACGACTGCTACTCATTTTTTTTTAAAGGATGTTAAGGGGGGGGGGGAAGAACAGCAGTGAAAGATTATTAAAAAGGTTTGAAGATAATGGTGTGTGTGGTGTTCTCATTTCATGTTACTGAGGTCTGAGAGCAAAGCATTTTCTTCATATTCAGATGTATAATTCTTTAATATTTTCATGGGAAATCTAACATATGTGACTTTCCTTATGCTGAACAGGAGAATGCACAAGTTAATGCGCTCAAATGACAGTCAGGCTTGTATAGAATTACCTCACTGTGGGAGCCGTGATGCCACCAATAAAGAGAATTCTACACCAACTTAATGGATGACTGGCTTGGAACACAAAGATATGTTTCAAGAAGAAGGTATTCAACTCAGTTAGCTGAAAAAGAAGGATGCATTAGTCAACCTGATACTGCATGCTAAGTCATAACAACAAATTCCTTGTTATGGACATTCTAAAAAATTATTAGTATGTTTAAAGCATTTTCAGAAAATTTATGGGGTCCTCCAAGTTGCTACTGGAACGGCTGTATTTAAATTAAGTAATAGCCAGTACAATATGGGCACCAACCAGCTGGGGAATCACGGGTGCTGGCGTAGGGAAGGGGTATATGGTGGAATCAGCTATTTGTCAGGTTTCCTGGTACGTGGCTCTCATTTGGGTCACCCGTGTGATCTGCTGGGATAGTTGGGAGACAGATGTTCTGAGAACAGCAGAAATCATGAAAACAAATATACACCATGGAACACCTCTGCAGCCTTACAGAAATCAGGCCAGATCTAAAAGAAGCTCACTGTAGGAAAGTGAGCTCTTTGATAACCAAAAGAAGCTTGAGATACGTCAACGAGAAATGACTGGGAACCGTATCTAGCACACGCCTTGACCAAAGGCAGCTCTTAAAAGTGGGTGCGAAGGGTCAGTTCAAGTTTCACCTATGGCCAGTGGTACTTTCCCTGAGGTTAGCATCCTGGTGCAGCTCATCACAGGAAGAACCCGTGGCAGCACAGGAGAGACCAGCCAGGATGTGGTCTGTGCTGAGCCCATCTCCTGCATTTCCCCTCCAGATTCAGCAAGGAGCAGAGATTAGGAAAGGAGAACACACGGACCAGCAGGTTCATTTCAGTGATGTGAGACATGTGTCTTTTCCCACAGCATTGATTTCAAGGATATAAAATTTAAAAAATGGTCCACTAATTAATGCCACACATGGAAAGCTGGCCCCAGCTCAGTGAATGTGAGAAGTGTGCTCCGTGTAATGCTGCCATTCTAGGAGCACACCCGGTCTCTCCTGGACCCATCCAACCTCCTCCTCAGTTCGCATACTAATGGAACACCTACACCTTCCCAGACATCGCTCTGATAAGGAAAAACTTAGTCCCTGCCCATTTAAACTCCCATTTTCATCAGACTGACTTCCCCAAACCATGGTGACTACTTATTCACATCCACTTCTGAATCCGTGAACTCCACCTGCTGAGATGAGCAATATTATTCTCCACATGTGGACAAGGATAATTGTCTTAAAGGTGACTCATGCTCATTTTTTATGTTGGGAGCATTTCGTGTCTGTGTTCAAAATATAATTTCTCATGATTCCGAAACACTCGTCAAGCAAAAGCTGGTCTCCCAAAGTTGTAAAATGATTAACTTGGGCACAGGAGGATCAACACAAAAGGCTATCTCTAGAAAACAGAGATGTTTAGTAATCCTTTTCCAAGACCCTTGGCTGCCTGAATCACGTAGTGGGCTGCTTGGAAGGAGACCTTCTCTCCACTGACAACACCTTCTTGGAGGACCCAGGGCCCCACACATAGCACAGCCTTCTTTACTAAGCTCTCTACAAATTACCTGAGGTGGTAACAGCTGCGGCCCAATTTTAAAAAGTAAACATTAAACTTAGAATATAAGAAAAACCCTTTGCATTAGTTCCTTTGGTCCTGAAAATGATCCCTCTGAAAATCTATCCGATGCCTAACAACTTGGGTGACAGATGCTGTGACCAAAAGCTTCTTTCGGGGAACTGTAAACATTTTCTAACTTCCAACTCCAAGAAAGATATTTGAAAATGTCTTTATGATGAAGCAAGGCCTTGGGCATAATAACACTGCTCTGTTTAATTATTTTTTGTATGTAAGCTGCAGGATTTTCTATCTTCCAAACCACCCAGCTGGTAAGCAGCATCAACTAATGTTAACTCTCAATTCCTGAATGGTTTTGATTTTGCTTTTGCTTTTCTTTTGTTCCCCGCACCCCGCCCCCCCCCCCCCCATTTCTGGGCATCTGAAAAAATACCTGCCAGATGATCATGAAAAGGTATATTCCAGCCACTCTCTGAAATGAAGATTTGGGGTCAAACCATCGAACGTAGGTCCAACTAGCAGGAGTAAACTGGAGCACGGCTCTTTTGATTTTACCAGTGGTGGTGTGGATGTCTCTGTAAGAAGAGAATGGCTCCAGTGAAAATCCAAAGAGATAAGGAAGGGGAAGAAGAGAAACAAGCCAAAAAAACTGCACTGACAATCTTACAAGAAATGCTCAAGACAAAAAGATTCCTTTCTGGGTGAACCATCTCCCCAACAATGATCTCTCTATTTATATGGAGTGCGGAGAGATGTATCCTTGATACGAAATTTCAGTGATGACAGGCACAGGGCAGGGGTCAGGTCACTAAAGAGCCAGGAGAGGCCTTAACTTGTGAACAGGTGACAAAAGAAGCTGAGGCATAGTAACAGCCCCCTGGAACCAGGCCAGTGAGAATGAGGACGCCCACAAGGACATGATCCCACCCACTCTATATTTCCCAATGCAGGGCATTTTTTTTGTTTTTTTAACGTTTATTTATTTTTTGAGAGAGAGAGAGAGAGAGAGAGAGACACAGAGCACAAACAGGAGAGGAGCAGAAGGGGAGGGAGACACAGAGGGAGGCTCCAGGCTCTGAGCTATCAGCACAGAGATCAACACAGAGCTTGAACCCATGAACCGTGAGCTGAAGTCGGATGCTTTACAGACTGAACCACCCAGGGACCCTCCCAAGCCAGGGCATTTTAGTTAAACAGAGAGGTCACCCACACCATTTCTTTGTCCTATTTCTTCCTAAGATAAATAAACAGTTTGGGATGACAAACAGCAATTTCTAAGCCTCCTTCATTTTAATCCTACAAAATCACTCAGTTAAAAACTTCACACTCCCATGACAGGAACACAGATTCCTACGTGTTACACGTGAGAACAGTCAGGCTCAGGGCACCTGCCAGAGGAAAGCTCCCGTCATGAGCACCACAGTTGGCTGTGTATTCTAGCTTCTCCTGCTAGACCAGGAGCCGAAATCCAAGGTAAACAGCATTTAGTAACTGGTAAAGATTCTTTATTTCGACAAAGATTTTTATCAAGTGCCTTTATATCTTGGATATTGTGCTAAGTGCTGAAGGCACAAGAGAGAACAAGTCAGGTCTTTTATTTTTGCGGCAGAGGAGGATCCACTCGCCTACCCATCAACAGGCACGTACTGAGAAAATCTTGCAGCAAAAAGATATGAGGCACAAGAGCGACAAAAAACAGAGATTCTCCAAAAATAAACAAGAACTATGAAGGACCTGTATTTAAAAGAAAACAATAGCAAACTATATGGTAAGAGGTAGAGGAATATGGGAATAAATAGGAGGACAGAGCGTGATCAAGTATTGGAATACTTACTACAGATCTCCGTTACCTTATGATGGGTTTCGCCCGGACAAGCCCATCATAAATTGGAAATATCATAAGATGAAAATGTATTTAATACACCTAACCTACCAAACACCATAGCTTAGTCTAGCCCACCTTATGCTTGTTCTGAACACTTACCTTTGTCTACAGGTGGGCAAAATCCTCTAACACACAGCCTATTTTATAATAGAGTGTTGACTACCTCATGTAATTTGTGGAATACAGTACTGAAAGTGAAAAACAGTGGGTGTCTGGGTGCAGAATGGCTGTGAGTGCATCAGTGGTTGACCCTCACCATCGCCTGGCTGACTGGGAGCCGCGGCTGTCCCCTGCCCAGCACCACAAGAGAGGATCCTACCCTACACACGTCACCAGCCTGAGAAAAGATCCAAATTCAAGATCCAAAGTATGATTTCTGATGAATGTGTACCATTTTCATACCACTGTAAAGTCAAAAAATCATTAAGTCAAACCACTGTAAGTCAGAATTGTCTGTACAGCCAACAGGTTAATTCAGCTTTATATTCATTTGTATATTTGACGTCACTTAAAAGAAAAAAGCACCAACGGGATTTCTGCTTTTTAGTTGGGCTTGTGTTTTGGGAACCTGACAAAACAACTCTCAGGTTGAGTCTAAAGCATAAATGTATGAAAATAGGGAAGCATTATGGCAGTGTGTAAAGAGCCAGACAACCTGAGATAAATTCACACTCAGCAGCTTGCTAGCTGTGTGTCCTTAGGCAAAGTACTGAACCTAGTTTTTACTGTCACCATCCCTAGAATGAAGAGAAAAGGAGTGTCAACCCCGAGGACTGATGTAAGGCTCAAATGAGATACTGCTTAGGGGCGCCTGGGTGGCGCAGTCGGTTAAGCGTCCGACTTCAGCCAGGTCACGATCTCGCGGTCTGTGAGTTCGAGCCCTGCGTCGGGCTCTGGGCTGATGGCTCAGAGCCTGGAGCCTGTTTCCGATTCTGTGTCTCCCTCTCTCTCTGCCCCTCCCCCGTTCATGCTCTGTCTCTCTCTGTCCCAAAAATAAATAAACGTTGAAAAAAAAAATTAAAAAAAAAAAAATGAGATACTGCTTATAAAGCGGACTTACAGCAACATCTAGCACAGCTCCAGTTTTTGTTCCATTATCTACTGTCTTAAATATATTAAAAGTGTGCTTTCAAGTCAGCACCCAGAGAAAGGATGATTTAAAGAGGAATAGGGGGGGCGCCTGGGTGGCGCAGTCGGTTAAGTGTCCGACTTCAGCCAGGTCACGATCTCGCGGTCCGTGAGTTCGAGCCCCGCGTCGGGCTCTGGGCTGATGGCTCAGAGCCTGGAGCCTGTTTCCGATTCTGTGTCTCCCTCTCTCTCTGCCCCTCCCCCGTTCATGCTCTGTCTCTCTCTGTCCCAAAAATAAATAAACGTTGAAAAAAAAAAAAATTAAAGAGGAATAGGGAACACGGCTTAATCAATTGCAAAAAACATTTTGAAATCTCTCCCTCATACCATCTAGCACATTAAATGTGAGAGAGACTAAATAAGTTACTCATAATAAAAGACCAAACCATTAAAGAACCGGAAGAAAATACAGGTTAACATTTACCTAAACAAAAAGATGAAAACCTTTTAAAGTTTAAATGGAGTACCTACCATAAAGAAAATTACAAGTGGATGACAAAACAGAAAATAAAGTCACATTTATGACGAAGCGTTAATGTCCTTAACCTATATAAAAAGCACTAATAAGAAGAGGGAAAATATAATAGAAACGGACTAGAAATTCAGTATCACATAATTATATGTGATAACATTAAAAAAGGCTTAAAAGTAAAATTCAAAGAAATAGTGAAATAGACACATATATACATTAGTGAATGAAGGTGAGAATATAAATTAGAGTACTACACTTTTAGGAATTTATTTATAGGGGCACCCTGGTGGTTCAATGGGTTAAACATCTAACTCTTGATTTCAGCTCCGGTCTCAGGTCATGATCTCATGGTTTGTGAGATTGAGCCTCAGCTCTGCGCTGAGACATTTTCTTTGTGACTTATACTCATTTTCCCTTATTTATTTGTTTTTAATTTTTTAATGTTTACTTATTTTTGAGAGAGAGAGAGAGAGAGAGAGAGAGAGAGAGAGAGAGAAGGAGGGAGAGCATGAGACGGGGTGGGCAGAGAGAGAGGGAGACACAGAATCCAAAGCAGGCTCCAGGCTCTGAGCTGTCAGCACAGAGCCCAACATGGGGCTCTAACTCACCAACTGTTGAGATCATGACCTGAGCTTAAGTTAGATGCTTAACCAACTGAGCCACCCAAGTGCCCCTCATTTAACAAAAAAAAAGTTATTTATAGAGAAAAAAAAGATCTACAAAGATACATGTTCAAGAATGTTCACTCTAGCTTCCTTCATAAAACTGAAAACTCTGAAACACATCTAAATGACCACAAAAGGGAGCTGGTTAAATACCTCATGATTTATCCATATGTTGGGATATAAAGAAGCCCTCTGAAATCATGTTTTAGAATATTTAATGATGTGGGAAAATGTTCATATTTTGTTTGATAAATAAATGAAGGTGTAAACACAATAAAGACAACTACTTTCATAATCCCACTGCTATTCTTTTCCTCCTTTTCAATGGCACAGTTCCTGTTTCAGTCAAATTGAGGAGAGAGCTCAGGGAGGCAGGACAAGGAATGATAGAAGTGGGTGCTGTCCCCCCTGGAGGCACAGAGGAGGGACGCGCAACTTGCATCAGAAAGTCAGAGACAGCTACCTGAAGAGGTGTCAAGGTAGTTGAGGTAGGAAAGGAGAGGATCTGTCAGCCTGGCACACGGGGACATGGGTCAAACCCAGGTATAGAGGAGCATGTGCTCAGAACCTTGGGAGCCCCAGGGGGCATGCAGGGAATGACTGGACCTGCCCAGCCCACAATGTGCACTTTGTCCCAAAGACCAGGAGGAGCCATCACAGGGGAATGACATGATGAATCTGACATGCTTAAAAAGATCCCTCAAGCAGTGGGGTGAGATGGTTTGCAGAGGGTAACCAGGGAACAGGGGACGAACTAATCCAGTGAGGGCAGTATGAATGCAGGCTGAGGCAGGAGAATGAAAACAAAATGGATATGAGAGAAATGAAATCATAAATGGTTTAACATCATCTGGGTGAATGCCTGCAACACGGTCTATAATCATTCATGCGTTTCAACTACTAATGTGTCATTTACTTCTTATCGTCAAAGACCATACTGAAGGTGCTTGCTACTAAAGCAGCTCAGTCCTCGTTGTGCGAGACTGTGACTAATGTCCAGAGGGGAGGCGACTCACTTGAAGCTGGCCCAGTGGTAGGTCCTCATCTCTAAAAACCGGCAAACGACCATGCCCAACCAGATGCCACCGCCGTTGCACAGCAGGATGTCCAGGATGACTTGGTCCCACCAGCACTCAGCGAAATTGGGCAGAAGGTGCATGAAGAAGAGCTGAGACACACGAGACCACGGTTTTAAAAACAAAACTGCAGAAAGATATACTTCCTTTTAATACATTCTTTTAGGAGAAGTCGTTGACGTTACAGGTTTTCCCAATGTATGAAACGCATAAATCAAAACAAGGCCTGTAATCGGGTTTGTTTTTTATGCTGTGGGTAAGTTTACACATTTTATGAATCCAAACAGCTCTTTTCTTGACATATGGCTTTATTTTATTTATTTATTTATTTTTATTTTTTTTTTCAACGTTTTTTATTTATTTTTGGGACAGAGAGAGATAGAGCATGAATGGGGGAGGGGCAGAGAGAGAGGGAGACACGGAATCGGAAACAGGCTCCAGGCTCCGAGCCATCAGCCCAGAGCCTGACGCGGGGCTCGAACTCACGGACCGCGAGATCGTGACCTGGCTGAAGTTGGACGCTTAACCGACTGCGCCACCCAGGCGCCCCGACATACGGCTTTAAAGACAAGGTAACCTCTCCTGAAAAATACTACTGATGAATTACCTTGACTAACGACAGCGAGACAAGGATCTAAGAAAGGAAAGGGAGAAAAGCCTTCATACCTGCCAACAGATCACTGGCATAGTCCTCAAAATTAGCAGCTTGAGAGTTCAAGCTGTGTGTTTTAGAACTATCCCATAGATATCTAGGTAAAACAGCAAGGAAGCTGCAAAAGGAGAAAGGTTAGGTTTTGATGACATGAGGTGGGAAACGGATAGCTTAACAGGAAACCCTATGACAACTGGTTCACAATCGTCATCTTATTAAGTGCTTATGATGTGCTAGGGGTGAGGCAAAATAAAGTCACGGTTCTCGATCCCAAGGGCAGGACGGAGTCAGATGTTTATGCAGAACCACAAAATAAGGTAGGCTGTGGCAAATGTTACCATGGTGACATAAATGGAGCACGGTGAGGACAAAAGAGAGATTCATTGTGACAGACGGCAACTGGGGCAAGACCTATTGGGACAGAGGTCGTTAAGGACAGGGATGACTGGTTTCAAGAGGGAGATGAAGACTGAGGGCATTCCAGAAACAGCAGGATCAAGGGTGGAGTAAAAATCTCTTATGGAAATCCTTTCGTCCAAAACAAACAGCCTATCAGCTGTGTCCAGAGCAGCACATGTTGCTGTGTGAAGGCCCATTTCTAGACGGTCTGAAATGACAAAGACGGTACCTGGAAATCCTCTGGAAAGAGGCAACCCCATAATCACAAACCTCTGAAGTAACACAATAAATACTACAAAATAAAACTGTTCACAAAAGCATTTTGTAGACTGTAAGACAAGGCACATATATGGAGTTTGCCTTCTTAATGTGCCTGCTGCCAAGAAGACCCAGCACAGCTACTGCATGTGAAGGCTTGCAGTTGCGTTCCTCCCTCAGGTGAGCCAGGCGCGACCCGACCCCCGAAGTGTATTCTCTGGTCCCCAGCCGTGAGATGCGGCATTAACTGTGGTGTGCCCAAGGGGAAGAGAGAAACTTCAACAGAAGTTGATAACACATATTTGCTGAAACAAGACTATGCAGGGAGGTGGGGTGTGGAGGACATGCTTCAGCCTGAAGAGCTTTCCTGGAAAGGACCAGATTCTGGGGGTGAGATGGGCCGTCCAGATGAATGCCTGGAACTCACAGAGGGGAACGTGGTAGGGCAGCAAGAACATGGGCTGCACATCTTAGCAGGAGCACATCTGGAACCCAATCCTGGCTCACCTAACGAAGCAAGGTGCTGGGCTCCGGTTCCCTCATCTGTGCAGAACTGAGCATGAGGAACTGGAGAGGGCTGGACTCATTCACTCATTGAGTAATTTGGGGAGAACCTACCACTTATGGGGCAGAGTATCTGGGACTATGCAGATATGGGCCCTGCCCTCTTGAGGCTGAACACTTAGCAGAAAAGAGACACTATAAGTACCTATAATATGATGGGCATTTCAAAGGAGAAGGCCCAGGTACTCTCTTTCCAGGTGTACAAACATGGAGCACAGCAGGAGCAGGAAGAAGAGGGACCAGCCTGCCGGTGGGCTCTGGGATAGAAAAGACACGGACTCTTTGACAAGAAGAAAGCAAAGATGGCTGGAGCAAGATGGCAGGGTGGAGAGGGTCGCAAGCAGGTGGGCTGGGGCCAGTTAACATCACACCTCAAAGGCTGGTCCAGAAGTTTGGATTTTGTCTTAAAAGCAATGGACAAAACTATAGTTTTAAGCTGGGGAAGGACGCAACTGGATCGAGGTGTGAAAAAGATCACTTTGCCAAAAGACAGCGAAGGGAGGAAGCGAGTAGTTCACACAAGAGAGGACAGGAGGGTAGATGCCAGCAGAGCAGGGTCGTGAAAGACTTAGACGGAGCAGAGGTGCTTGCAAGAGTCTAAAGAACACAGAGGAACAGAAAAGGAAGGCCCAGAGGCCATCTGTAGTATGAGGGGAGAGAAGCAGGCAGGCTGAGAAAAGCCCAGGGCCTTGCACTGGGTCACACTGCAGTACGGTCAGGAAGATGCCTGGAACTCGGAGGAACGTGGCATGAGAGCAGGTACGTGGGCTGTGTACCTGGAGTCCAGCACATGTGGAATCCTACTGGCTCACCTCAGGAGGCAAGACTCTAGGCTCTGGTCCCTTCATCTGTCCACTGGGAATATGTTTATGGTGAGGATTTAGGAGACAATACATGTACAGTGTTGGGTACCGCTGTGGGTTGAATCGTGTCCCCTCAAAATCCTCCTGCCGAACCCCTAACATCCAGTTCCTCATGACATGAACTTATTTGGAAAGAGAGTTGTTGCAGATGTAATTAGTAAAGGTGAGGTCATCCTGGAATAGGGTGGGCCTCTAATCCAGTGTGACTGGTGTCCTTATAAAAAGAACACCACATGAATGCACACAAGGAGAACCCGGCTTGAAGATGAAGGCAGAAATTGGGGTGATGCATCTACAAGCCAAGAAATACCAATGATGGCCATCAACCCATAAGAAGCTAAGAGACGCCTACACCAGAATCTCCCTCGCAGCCCTCAAAGGGCACCAATCAACATCTTGAACTCAGACTTCTGGCCTCCTGGGCTGTGAAGGCACATTAACAGAAGCTAGATCTGGCTGGCGTGGTTCCCTAAGTTGGGGTCAAGACAATAGTTGGCATCAAAAAATATACTGCACACATGGCCAAATTTTGTTCCCTGGGACTGAGGAAGAATGATATCATAACTGAACAATAAACAAGTTCCCCCAAAATCATTTTCCTAATAGTTTTAAAAGACTATATCTCTTTCATTCATGAAATGAGACAAACTTGACTCCTGAGACAACAGAGCTATATCAGGAATCCATTTTTCACCTACAAAATATCCTGGGTGCCCTTGTAATTCATAAACACAATTCTGTTTGTCCCAAACCAGAAAGTAACTAGTGGGTAACCCACCTATTTACCCCTAAGCAGATGTCCTCATTACTATGTACCTGTCTCAGTCTCACTGAGGATTTTATTATCATTCTTTTTTGCTTCATTTCATTGGTTTCTCTTTAAGACTTGTGAGACAAGAAACACATTTTAAGTTAATAAGGAATCACACCCCACCCCCAACTGCCACAAAGGCATCAAATATTTCTAGGGGATGGTTTAAACATAGTTTGTACCACAGGGGCTGGAGAATGGATTAACTGACTATTAATGGACAGACAACCTTCCTCCTACATGTAAACTATCTGATCACTACCCCTTCTTACCTCAGTTAGCTCCCAGGTAATACTGATTGTCCAGCAGAGGCCATAGCTACGGATCAACAAGGCCTTCATAGCCCAGCCCCAGAAATGTCCAAATGCAAATATATCAAAATGGCTGATAATCCTCTCCCAGGTGATAACATGGCAGTTCACAGCATACTCCTATTCAAAGTAAACAAGGAAGTAATTAATGGATATTCTCAAAATCAACGTACTTCTAGGATGCTGACAACAAATGAAAAGAACTGATACGACCTTGATATGACAACTGACACCTGTCCTGCCCGCCTGCCCCCGAAAGTTTTAATAACTGAAGATCCTTTAGGAAAAACAGACAAATATTAAAGTTGGTGACTCAGAATTACTTTGCTCTGAATTGCAAAAGTTTGATTAAAATAGGAAGCAGGACGCCTGGGTGGCTCAGTTGGTTAAGCATCCCACTTCGGCTCAGGTCATGATCTCACAGTTTGTGAGTTCGATCCAGCCCCACATCGGGCTCTGTACTGACAGCTAGGAGCCTGGAGCCTGCTTCAGACTCTGTGTCTCCCTCTCTCTCTCTCTGCCCCTCCCCCACCCGTGCTCTGTCTCTCTCTCTCTCTCTCAAATATAAACATTAAAAAAAATTTTTTTTAATGGGAAGCAAGATAATTTTACACAAGTTGAGCATGTCTTAAAGAAGTGGAATCACACAGCTCAGGTCACCTGACCACAGGACAACTATGTTAAAGCCAGCGATAAAAACATAAACAGAATCTCAATTAACAAAAAAATAAGTAGAATCCCAATAGGTTTGAAAATTTGAAAACACATCTAAATATCATGGTGTAAAAAAGGAATCACAACAGAAATGTAAACTATATTCAGTATTAATGGTAATGAAAACACTATGTGTCAAAACGATGGGATGAAGGTAAGTAGAATTTACAGAAGATCCAAAGCCTGAAAAATTTGTTAGCAGAGAGGAAAAGCTGAAGCATCCAATTTCAGAAATTAGAAGGAAACGGAACCAAAGTTAACATCCCAAAGTTAACAGCCCAGCTCCAGGGTCCAAGCTGTCAGCACAGAGCCCAACATAGGGCTCAAACTCCCTAACAGTGAGATCATGACCTGAGCTGAAGCTGGGCACTTAACCGACTGAGCCACCCAGGTGCCCCTAACTGGCACATTTTAAAGATATTTTATGTCAACATCCTTCTGTTTCTGTATATATTAGTAAAGTAGTTATCATATGACAATATAAGATTTCTCAGGAATTTCTACATTTGAATTCTTCCTTCCCAAAAGTAATCTGATAGGATGAAATAAGATTCAGAAAATAGCCACCTATTAACAGCCAGCTGAAGAAATTCCTGGAACAAGGTACTAATATTTTCAAATTCTAGAAATGATGCCTCCTAAGGGAGTAAAAGAGCAATTTGATTCTCTTCTATCTCTTCCAAAACCCACCACATCAGATTTCTCAAGCCTTTCTCAGATCTATTCAGTGCATTTCAATTTGCAAAGCTGATTTTTATTTTTTATTTATTTATTTATTTATTTTAATTTTTTTAAATGTTTATTTATTTTTGAGACAGAGAGAGACAGAGCATGAACGGGGGAGGGTCAGAGAGAGAGGGAGACACAGAATCCGAAACAGGCTCCAGGCTCTGAGCTGTCAGCACAGAGCCCCAGGCGGGGCTCAAACTCACAAACCACGAGATCATGACCTGAGCCGAAGTCGACTGCTTAACCGATGGAGCCACCCAGGCGCCCCTGCAAAGCTGATTTTTTTTTTAAAAAAACTGCATTTTGGGGCACCTGGGTAGCTCCGTCGGTTAAGTGTCTGACTCTTGGTTTCAGCTCAGGTCATGATCTCACGGTTTCAGGAGTTTGAGCCCCAACTTGGGCTCTCTGCTGTCAGTGCAGAGCCTGCTTCGAATCCTCTCTCTACCCCTCTCCCCCCAAAATAAATAAGTAAACATTTTAAAACATTGCATTTTTCCAGAAACAATTGTGATGTGATATTACAATGTATAAGTGGGAAATCTGGAGAAAACAGGGAAAGATTCAATAG